CTTCGCGTTAAACAGAACGAATCATAAGCCCGTGGAAATTAATGAGAGGGCCGGAGCCAGAAAGAGAAACGAATCGACCGAAAGAAATTATCTTCGCCCGAGAAACGCGACGTTACTGATAAAAAAGAAAAAGAAAATGCAGAAACAAAACGCGTTCCACGTCGCGATCGTCGGACTCGAGTCTTTAAACGAATTTTCTACGGGAATAAAATAAAACGAAACAAACGATTCGTTGTTTTCTATGAAATTCAATAATAATACGAAGCAATTATTTCTAGAATCAATACTAACGGATTATCTCGACGATTACGGTCACGCGAGCTATTCTCTGCGCCATTAAAATCTACCCGAAGCTTTTATTAGTCTGGTCCAAAACCAATCGCCGTGGAGGTTACTAAATATAAGTGCCTCCTACAATATTCAATGCATCGTTACATCCGCCTTTCCATTCTACCGTGCGATCTCGATCAGCCCCGAGAAGAATTATGCATTAAGAATAAACCCTATTACAAGCCGCTAGACTCGATCTCTGCCTTGTTCGTTAACTTTATCCCCGTTTAATTATGCATCGGCGGATTCCATCGCGGCGCTAATCGCTTTTAAACACGCGATGTAACGATTTCGAGTGCCGGTGAAATATTTAACGGGGTTCGTTCGACCGGAAGCATAGTTAACCGCGTTAATAATTCGTTGTCCTATTTAAATAACGTTTCTTCGAAAAGTTGAATTTACTCTTGATACCACAAATTACCTTTGGCAGATATTTCAATTTATTTTCTTTTTATATGAGAAAGCTGGTGATCGCGACTGGGTGCAACCCACCCCCGTAGCCATTGTACTCTCAATTATGCACTGTCTAATTTCACTGTAACGCGGAAGCGATTCCGCGACCCTCCGGTACAATTTCAACGCGGCGGCTCGTTACGTTATAACTTTCGCCAGCTTTTCTCGCGCCGGCAGAAACGAGCAATTAAGAGGCTTAATCAGGAATACACGCGGTCTACACCCTGTCATTTGGCCGCTCGCTGCGACCCCTAATTCAATAAGAAGCACCTCGCGCGGATTACCGACGAATCAACGAACCTACGAAGTCTTGTCGTCGTAATTGGAAAGTATCCAGTGGCGATGACACCCCCGAATACGTCCACGAGCCTTCCTATCTTTCTCTCGAAAGGGAGCTCCCCTGGGCACGTTTCTCTCCTACGGAGAAACTTTTGGGAAAGGTTTGATTTCGTTTGCACCGTCGTCGAACAAATCGTATCGTCCTCGTTATCGCGTGAGCCAATACTTGGACAAAATTGCCACGTTGCACGGTAGTCGATTTTGTACAGAGTGGACCAAACATCATTGGACAGGCACAACTCTTGGGAAATAATTTAAAAAAAATGGTTCGTATGAATATTCGTCGCGTCGGGCCTCGTTTCGATCATTCTAGTTTCGAAGTGAGCTAGCGTAACTGATTTCGCCGACCTATTTAGAACGAACATTTCGTATCTGTGCGAACGATCGTTGCTGACTGTTTGTAAACACTTTCATAATGCTCCATGAATCGTTTCATTCTTGGTGCTAGTAACGGAAGTCTGTGAATCGAGTGAAAATTATTGAACAATCTAAACGACTTTATCGTTTGTACAGAGAATATATAATATTTATACACGATTTTGCTGAATTTTCCAAGTCCCGCGTGTGCTCCGCTCGCCGTGCACGTTTCGGCCGTTCTAACGCGCGGAACTCGATTAATTTCTCTTCAGCCGTAGACTAATTAGGCGCAAAAATATCAATTACTCTTCAATTGAAAACGATTTGAATTTCGGTAGGTGGAATTAAGTGCAGTCACGCTATACGAGCCTCCAACGTTTTTAAGCCCTGAGTCACGCAGCACGATACTCGGTCGTGTTCCGCCTTCAAATAGAGCCAATTTATTATCCTATAGCGCGATGAAATTATTCCGGCTCGGTTCCCCCCTCGATTCAGCGGGAAAGACGTATTTATTCGGTAAATCGGGAATGAGCGGCCGAAAATAAACTACGCCGGCAAAAACGTCGGCGCGCGCCTCGTGAAATTGAGTTACCACCGTCGCCTCGTTATTCTCGTGAGACTCGAAATAAAGTGGCGGGGACATCCGCAAGGATTGAGTTACCGTCCACTTAATTGACCGCCCGCGGAAACGAGAAGAGGACACTGATTGACAGCGAGATGCAGCTGTCATCGGGGCCAGCCCCGAAGAAGGGTGATCGCGGTCGGTTTAATTGGTCTTTAGTGGCGGAATCCCGAAACCGTGGCCGGGACGCGGTCGGAATTAGGAGCAGAATGCCACTGACGCCGCGTGAATTTCTTTTGGACGCGCGGTAATCGGATCCCACCCTTGCTAAACGCGAAACACAATCGCCGAGCAAAACGTTACAGAGCTTTCTCTCATAACCCCCGAAAATAATAAAGGTTACTCTAAACGGAAAATAATCGTCGTGTCGCTTTGTATTGATTATTACACAAAGTGTTTGACCACCCCTGGGAACAATTTTAATGGGAGATTTTAGAGGACAATATAAGAAGGAAATCAAGAATACCAATTTGTTGATTGAGCCTTCGCTGAAAAGTTACTAACGTTTAAAGTTCCATTCAAATCATTCTGGAAAAATTATTTTCGATTGCAGGGGTCAATTAGAATCATTTTTGGTGAACAGATATACCCCCAAAATCCTACGCGCTTATTGTGATATTTGTAAGGGTTTCTTGCTAGACAATAAGTCTACATAAATTGTGCAACGTTTATCGTCTTGGATGAATATTTTGCAACGGGTCAGGAGCGACAATGCGTCCTGTCGATAACGTCCCGCCATTGGTCAGCCGGTACCAGGCAATCGGGAAAACCAGTTTCAGTGTCAAAGATGCAACGTGACACCATGATCCCCGTACGTACAGGAAACCAATAACCGACGTCACCGTCGTCGGCAGCGACGAATTTCTCGGATTACATAAACCCAAATAATCCAGTGAGTCATTCTAATTCTGATTCCGTCGGGGTTGCACCGCTTCCCGTCTTCGCCCACACCCGGCAGCTTTTGCTTTCTCGTTCTTCGTCCCTGTGTCTTGCTCTTCTACTCCCGTTGGCTGTTTCGCCTCTTTTCGTACGGTGTCCTAGGCGTCGCCTCTTCTTTGCTCTTCGGACGTCTGCCGTATAAATAGCCACGGCACGTGTGTCGTCTCGGACGCACACGGTGGCCTACTTTCCACCCCCCTCCGCTCTGTGACACTTGAAATTAGAGAACTTCGCTGACTATGTTTTTCTCGTTTCCGGGGGGCGAACGATTTAACGACAGTTTGCCGAACGATCGACTTTCCTATCGATACCTACAGAATTTCCGTGTCTGTCCGAATCGAAGGAATTCAACAAAAACACATAAGATCGTACGTTTCTATTGCCACGATAGGAAATGAGCGGCGAAACTACGATCAGCGATTAAAGTAAACGGAAATCGAGTTAATGAATTACACCTTGAAGGGAAACAAAATTTATCTCCAACGTTAAACTGTTGTTTCGCCGTGCACGGAAGGTTACTCGTCTGCCGGTGGCATTTAAAAATAATGGTAATGTTGAGAAGAGGATATGACGTCTGGGTACAAACGAGTGTACTAAGAATTACGAGCCTCGAGTGCAACATACTTTTCCCGGCTCCTTGTAACGCAACGAGGTACATTTAACCACGAGTACGTAACAACGGAGCCAATTTAAGGGGAACTGCGGCACGTTCCGCAACGCGAATCGCGCAAACAATGTAGATCGGAAGTATGGAGTGACCCTTAATTTTACAGTGTACCGTTTTCGCGAAAATTAACCTCGAAGAAATTTTCCAAATAAATTGCCTCGAACGGCCAGTCTCGATAGAAAAATCTGTCGCGAACCTACGCATGTTTTCGGGTCAAAGGTGCTCGCGATAAATGGAAGATCGTCTATTTCAGATCGCGCTATTAGTGGCGTTATTTCCTGTTTCCGCGCGAACAGCGCGAGTCGAGAGGACAAGCTTCTCGGGTTCGAGCAACGCTTTCAGAGAAAATAAATACGGTGCTCCGGATGTTCCGGCAACGGTGTGTCGTGTGTCGCGGGAAAAATGCGCTATGGCGACATCGCGACTCTGACCTCGCGAGCACCACGGGCTGAATACAACTACATTTCCAGCGTGGCGCGAGTTCCCCACACCTCGCCGCGTAATAACGAAGATCCCATCTGACAGATCGCATTCGCGACACTGTCTGATTTCGCTCCCTTTGCAATCGGGCTGTCTCGCTCGTCGCCGACTTCCGACCGTCCCAGATCTCTCCTGTTCACGGTCCATTTTTACGGAACAACGACAGCCAACCGCGTGTCACGTGACGCAAGTAACGAGAATCGTTACGCTCTTGCCGCGTATCTGTCGTCCAGGAGCGTCCAAACGAGAATAATCTCCCACAAAAAAAGAAAAACCGCCGTAAAAATTATACGTAAACGAATCGGAACAAATAATCAGCTTCCCTACGTTCCTGATCTTACGAAAAAAATTTACCAGAGAAAGATATTGGAAGAATCGAAACGTAGCTCCTATTCGCGCAGTAGTTTGTACCATTCGTGCGCAGACGAGGGTATTATACGCGTTATGGTCAGACACGCTTCCTATTCTTCGACTTTAGACTTCTAGCGAATCTTTAATGGGTTAATCAATGCGTACGAATGCAAGAATACACTCGATATAGATAATCGAATTAGCTTACGAATCAAAATTATTTTTGGCGTGCAATTGAATATCTCTCGTAGTAAAATAACGAAGAATTACACCTCGATCTTCAAGAATTACAGGGATACTAAAAATTGCGAAATAATAGACGGTAATGCTGTGAAATATTAGAACAATACATCTAAAAATATGGAAAGTGTCTCCCGTTTACCGGAAACAACGCGTCCCTAGCTCCGCCTATCAGATTTGCCTCTGGTATAAAGCATAAAGCGTGAACGAATACCTGGTCAAATGACCAATGAATATCGCGCAACGATGATGAAACTACGCGTGTCCGCTGTTTCAACGTTCTTTGTGATGTTCGGTATTAATTTGGTGGAGCCTCTGATGCACGACAGTATATCCAAGTTTCTGGGATCATTGACTTCCGTCAAACAGTAATGTCATTTGGTTCCGCAATTTACGTAAACATTACGGGATCGGTAAATTCCAATTGCGAATGGTGTCGTTACAGAGTGAGGATACCTGTACTGTTGAACCAACTATGCAACGAATCGCAAGGATCGAGCACGATTCTTCAAGACGCCTGCTACGGATGCTTCTACAGGGCTACCAATCAACCTCTAGGATACTCTTTGCTCGTGGCTATGTCTACCTGTGGCGACGTTTATCTCAACGATACCGACTATGGTCACTGTCAACAGTATTTGAAGGTAAGCACCTTTGTTCTAAAATTCAATTCGTCCATGCAATCGACGTCTTTCCCATTTTTATAATAGAATGCTACCAGTTCTCTGGATACGAGGAACACTCCTACGACCATATATTGCACGTTCCTCGAGTGCATTCGTCAAGTAAACAAAGACAATTTGGTAAGCAACCATTTGGTGTGCAATCGTGCCCCGCAAAGCTTTAGACGTTTTCTTTGCTTCTATTAGACTTAATGCACCGCTCAGTTTGTTGCAGTTAAGTTATTTGTATGTAAATAGTGTACATAAAAAGGTGAAAAAACAGCGATTGTAAATATTGAACAGGAAGCACGAGCGAACACGAGAACGGCGCTGAGAAGATCTTCTTTCCTATTCTTAAAACTGTATAAACAAAAATCGAGAAATATTTGCATCATAAGGGAACGTGACACGGAGTCAAACACGGTCAGACCGGGAGCGGAGCCCGTCGATCCAAGGCGACAATCGGTTCAACGGAAAGATGTGCCTTGAAAGTTCCAGAGAGCTGTATATACGACGTTCTTATCGATAGTTCTGTACATAATGTGCAATATTTTAAAATAACACGAGGGTGAAACTTTGTAAGTACTTTGTAAGAGCCATATTTGATTTTACTCGCGACACGCATCGTAAACGTTTAATATCAAAAAGCTTGTTGATTTTACGAGTGTTGCGTAGGCGTACCTTTATCGATAAACGTTTCTCTCAGCTCAGGGAATGCGTCGGCGAAGCCATACGAATGTTTCCTCGTTTCAACAACACCGACGTCCAACTAGCCCAATTATTCGTGAATACCACCGCCTGCGTGCTCGCGAAAACACGCTGCGCGCTCACGAATCCGATAACCGGGGAATTTCAAGAAGACGACCTTGCTAATAAGTTCAACATACCCACGGTCAACGCAGTTCTGGTCAACACGGATTACGACATCAACATCGTCCAGTTACCGTTTCATTACGGTTCCGTGGACGTTTGCGCGAAATACAGAAATTTCGAACAGGCGACCTGGCCGAGCGTCACCTGCTGACCAGAAATTTCCCTCCCAACCAAAACCAAAAGCACCAACCGACTGTAAGCTAATTAGCATTGATCGATGTTTCCGTCTACTTTGAGAAATAAACATCGTCCGACTGATCCGTTCGTGGCATTCAATTCCATTCCAAAGTTATAATTGCGCTACTCTAGAGCCTCCCTTATTCGAACCACTTCGTATAATCGAATGTACGCCAGAATTTAGAATCGTAGTGCGCAATATTAAGGTACTTGGATACGAAAGGCTTTACTGTGCAGAGAAGTAAATTTTTTACCGAAACTCCTAGAGAAACTATTTTAAGCGGTGACAATTATTCGAAGAATACGAATATTTCGAGCATTTTTCGCAAGATGAATAGAATGAGGTTCCCGAAGTGAGTTCGCTCGTTAATAAAACGCTTTAACGAAGCTAGATATTTGTATGTGGAGGATGGCCGTCGCTTGTGGTTCGTTTTCCAAATTCTAAGGCCAAACGCGCCGTTTCCGGGTTTGTGCAAGCGCTCGTTTAAACGCTAGTAAAAATCTGGCGATTTTCTCCGAAAAGTGTTCCACCCTTTCATATCGTTCGCGTTTTCTCGCTTCGTTTTGTGTGTCGCGAAAGGGTAAATAAAAATTTTGCTACGAGCCCTGTGACATCGTATTTGCGAATTTTCACGCCCGCTGACCGCAGTCGTTATAACGGAGTTGTTTGCCCGACCCGTTTCACCAGGAGCGGTCTTAGAATGACGATGAAAACTGCTTCGAACAAAAATAACGCGAACCTATACTTCAGTGTCGAACGTTAAGGCGAAATTCCAAGGATACAATTAAGATAAGTTGCCCATTTTCAAATTCGAGACATGAGAAAACCTTTTAAGGGCCTTCGTACGCGAAGAATATAGGCGTTGCGGGCCTGTGCGACACTGCGAAGCGAAAACCATACTTGGCGATTCATACCTGTAAGGGTATTTCTTCCACGAGTGTGCAGGAAATACTAAATATTAATGTAAAAAATATAAATGGTCGCGACTCCTGTTTATTCGAATGTTGTTTCTTAGTTTTGAGATATGGAATACGCATGTAAATTTTGTCGACATCCCTTTAAACTCGCGTCGAATATAAAACCACGCGCGTGTGCTCCAAATACCCTGGCTGTACCGGCTGATTCATATAAAGCGGCGGAATTATTTTCGAAAGTTGGAGAGACGAAGTGTTTTTCAATGTCATGTTTTTAAAACGTAACGTCCAGCCTCGAAAGGTATTAAAATCGTGACTCGAACGCGAATAATGTTTCGACGATGCTTTGAAAGCACCGATGGTCTCCCACGAATTACCGATAAATCCGAGAGACTGTTAGTAATTTTGCAATGCATTCAGCCTTACGTACTTCCATGCGAACATCTGATGTAACGACATTGTCGTCAATGTTAAATGCATGCATTACTATCAAACGAAGGCTTTAAACGATGATTCACAGTCACGTTACAGCGCCATTCGCACCAAGATGACTGGTGTAAATCTTAGTCACTATTATACTATCTTTCGGTGCCATCGCGAAGCTGCGTAATCGTTATTAAGTTAACTTGTAAAATGGAAATTGTGTGGAACTCTTTCGCGCGCTCGATATTATAGGAACAGAGACTGAACGAATCGAACGCGATAAGTAAATCGCGCTGCGATCTTAAAACCCGTGGATACACCTTACCGCGTTACATACTTATAAACAAATGTTTTCTCGAACTTCCTGGTAGTCTAGAATCACATTAACCTCTCTCGGTGAGTACTATAAGGTCTTTGATGCATTTTTCATCGCCCTGTACTTTATGACGTCTCGGTAACGCGTCCGACAGGCGACACAACATGTATTTTCATATCCGTAGACCGACGTAGCTGATGCGATCTCGAGAGAACCGCGATACCCGAATGCCCGCATAAGAGAACGTACGAACAACACTAACTGGTTGAACGTATCCTGGTCGCCTCATTAGTTCCAAGTACCGGATGCGGACGCTAAAAGATCGTTTACGATATTACTCGTCGCGTGGATCGATCATAACAGAGCTGCCAATAAACAAGTTTACGAGAAATAATACGACGAAACGTCTAGAAACGGGGGATAACGGATAAAGAAGGTTCGTTTCTCGGAAATCTCTAAAATAAGCGTTTCGATAAATTCCAGGCTGTTGGAATCGACGGAGTCGTTTCAGACGCAACGACACGCTCCCGGGGAGGCTCGAACGCCAAACTCGCTGGCAGCTATCCGGGATATTCGATGGTAATCGGATATTAAAAAATCCGAGTATCACGGTTGGCTCAAAGCGAAGGGCTTGAAAGGAAAGCGAGCGGACGTCTCCCTGCCGGTTTGTTTGCCAAGGTGAAACTCTCCGGTTAATTCTTTCGAAGAGAGGAGCACGAGGGAGGAGGACGAGGAATCGGGAGATCGATTCCGTGACATCGGTGTGCACTCATGTACTTATGAAAGGCCGGGGGAGAGCAACGGGGGTCGGTGGACGAAGGAGAACGGAGAAAAGAAGCGACGAAGATGAAGGGAAGATCGCTCCATTGCACAGAAGCAACGCTCCACTTAGCATCTTCCTCGAAATAATTTGAAATATGCAAATACCATCGGTATACACGCATCCGCGTGTCGGCGGACGGCCTCGTGTGCGTGTCCTCTAGCGACCCTGTTTGCGTTCGAGCTTTCCCTGTCTGTGTGTGTGTGTCACGAGGAAGAGGGCCAAAGACGCGGGAGGAGAAGACAACGTATATTCCAGTGGCTTACGGTTCAGTTCTCTCGGAGCCAATCTAACTTAACATGCAGATGCAGTACGTGGAATCGTGGAAGAGGGAAAAGGAAAGACGGGGTGAGGAGGGGGCGGAGAGAAAGATGGCCTCCGAGTCATTCGCGGCGATAGTACCTTTTCCGTATGATCATCCGTCGTTAACGACTCGGCGATTCGAGGGTACTCGGAGACGTAAACGCGATTTTAATGCACGAACCCGCGACCACGGTCGATAAAAATTACTCGAACGGATCCAGGAACGGGCGTTGCAGCGTCACGAAAACGGTACAGGGATGCTTGTTACGGGCCAGGGAGAAACAAAACGCGAAGCTACGTTACGGGGAGAAACGGGATATTGGCCGATATTTCATAAATTCCTGAGCAGCGGCAATCGATCCCGACGCCGCGCCGCGCCGGGCGAACTCACGGAAGCGCATCCTTGATTAAATTTGCAAGACCGTGAGGTTGAGTAGCCGTAAGCAATGTAATCTGATCTTGTAAAGAGGTCGGGGCTAACTACCCCCGCCGGATGCGGTAACACGCGCGATACGTACTATATTCGATAAACCGTGTACGTATCTGAAAATTAGAAAGAAACGCCCGAGCTTGCGCCCTCGAACCGCTACGTTTTCTAGAAGTAGTGCCCCAAAATTCACGTAACATTTGGATTTTGTGCCATTTGCGCGGTAATGTTGGCGTTGGCTTTTTTTGAAAAAATCACGGAAAATTTCGACAAAAATTTTTAATGAAAAACCTGTGTTTTCTATGAGTGAGTCTTCTGGTTTTGGGGACGAATGAAAACGCTTCCTATTTATTTGTGCGCCGCCTACGTATGCCTCGAACGGTTAAAGGGTTGAGTCCCCGTTTTCGAGCTTCCGGGTTCTTGAAATCGAGAGCGTGCGTGGCGAAGAAAGTGGATCGGTCCGGCTGAAAACGCGTCGATGACGCCGGCCGCGCGACGCTTACGCAGTGAGTCACGCGGGCCACGATCGGCGTCGTTGCGCAACGAGCTTCATCGCGATCTGCGGAGGCGTCGTGCAAAGCGCGCCGCGGACCAAGAGGGGCAGGAAAACAAAAACAAGGAGAAGAGTCAGCGCCGTGGACACGTCATCGAGGCGCGGCATACGTGAAACCGGGACACGATGCCGCGCCGCGACGCGATTCCATCTGTCCCGATTAACGCGGATGCGTCCCTAACGATACGACCGACACACACTGCAAAAACCTCCGAAACAAGGACAAAATTAAGCAAAATGACATTTTCAAAGTAACGAACATTGTTTATATAAGTTGCTACATCATTAGTCGAAAGTTCAACGTACAAGGAATCATAGAAATTAACGAAAAACCCTAAGTACAAACTTGTCGAATCATAGTTTTATGTCAACTTTTTATCGATTCAAATGATTTGAATGGGGATGAGAATTTATCGAGAAAATGATACTACCGTGATTGTATAATGAGATAATAGCATTAGTATTACTTTCCTGATCCTGTTTGAGAACACGCAGAGTTTTAAAGTACGATTTTGCGAAGAAAAATCAGATTGTGACTAACTTTCGTTCTCATTATGAAAACATTTTGCATGGAAATGATTTCGTACGTCGCGAAGATCTACGACCGAGAAAAACGCTGGAAAGTTGCAAGAATCAGACCCCGCGGAGCGTTTTCCCTCGATCGTTACTTTCCCCGACGGTCGCGCGATATAACTGATTTACCTTGTTTCGATCGGTCGAGATATCTCGATAGATATGCTCGATCAACGACGGAATCACGCAAAATAAATAACGTGGAAAGTGGCATTTCTTTCTCGGAGTCGATTATTGCCGCGAGGCAAAAATACTGTACCGCCGGCGTAGCGTGCATAAGTTGACGAGAATGCTGGACTCGCGGTTGCAACCTCTTTAGTCATGCCCCGTATGTTGCATGCAATACTGTTATACATCACTATGGCGTCTACGGAACGGTTGCACGGCGTCGAACGACTCGTCGTTTTGCAGAAACCCGTCTCGGGTTGCGCGTTTTTGCGCCCAACTGGCACGCAAATTTTTCCAAATAACGCGTCAACGCGTACGCGATGCGTGCTCATTGCGCAATTTCGTTTCGATGGAATTTTTGTCGATAAACACGTATAGCGTTACGAGTAGTTACCGGTGAATAGCAAATATATTTCGTCCCTGTTTATTTCCTGTTGGTATCCGCTATCGAAAAGTACGAGACGAACGATGGCCTCGAACAAGCGAGAGAATCGATGCGTATTTAGCGAGCGT